GCACGCGAGCCGAGGCCTCCGGGAACTCCAAACGAACACAAACATGGATGATCACCGAGTGTTCAAACGGTGACGTCCAAGTCTTGAGGACGGTCAAAAATGGGGTGTCTACAAGTATGCTAAAGCGTAAATACTCACAGTATACTCTGAGCCAAAACAGAAAACTAGTTAAAAATCATGCATGATCCTAGTTCATGTTAAGATGGCTAATGCAACACATGCAAAAATGCAACTAAGATAGGCTCGGCTATTCTAAGATGTCATGTGAATGCCACTTGATAACATGTATTCAAATTGGTATTGAAATACAATGCAGTTAGTATGATGCGCTAAGCTCGGTGCATGCAAGACAGATAAATGGATGCACGCATGCAAGCATAAGGTATTCTAATCGAAACATGACCTAAAACTAACCATCGTAAGTAGTTAAGTAAAAGGGAGAAAGAAATAGGTGTTGGAAGACATGCATGACACACACGCACGCTTATTACAACAATACGCCCTCTCGTAGGAGGGTCCGAATAATAAGCTAACTAGTTAATTTAAGCTAATTAAACTAATTATTACATCACAAAACTAATTAACTAACAAGTTAACTAATTATGAAGCTAATTAACTAACAAGTTAACTAACTAGTTATTACAACACAAATTAAATAGCTAAACGCATTAACTAATTAAGTACAAAAACAAAGCATTAACTAGCTAAGCAAATCAGCTAGGTAAAGCAAATAGAAGGGGCCTCGGAGCGAGAAGCGTATGCATGCTCAGTCGCCTCATTCGGAAATCCATCGCGATGCCCCAACTTGCCTCTATTTTCAATTGTTCTCAGGCCTCGTTTGAGAACTAGTCCGTTTAGCCAAAAAGTCAAAAAGTTACTAAAAAAGCCAAAAAGCCAACAACCCATACCAAAAAGTCAAAGATTCTCTTTTCTCTCTATTTTTTGCACATCTTTTCGTAAAAAGCCAAAAAGTCATCCCCAAACATAGTAGTTTTTTTTAGCTTATATTTTAGTCAAATAGCTAAAAAGTTACTAAATTAGCCTCTTCCCAAACGAGGCCTCAGAACACTGTACAAAGCTCCAGATAGCTTTTGCTCCACCATGGGAACCTGTAGGAAGGTTGTTGACCATTTGTTGGTGTTGCCAACCACTTGCCGACCACCTATGTTTGCTGCAGACCAAAAAAAATGGTCGGCCAGCCACTTTTACTGGTCTACCGACCACTTGTTGCTGCACTTCTCCAGTTGCTGCAACAGAGAACAAGAAGGGGCATGGCAATATATTTGCAAGATATGTGTGCACAACCACCTTCCCTATCATTTCATGATCTCAAGGGAGTGCGGTTCTTGACCCTCGGGCCACCAATCACGCATCTCGATGCATGATGGCCGAGAAGCCAAGATTGCGCGAATCAATGTGAATGAATGCACAAATAACACATAAATGCCTTAACCTCTATCATGCTTGATCAAGAGGGTCGGTGACCGAGAAATGAGGCACGTTTCATCACTTCAAATATGAAATGTCCCTCGTTTCCCGTGTTTGAACTAACACCCAATCCAAACACATGTAATGCAACTCAAGTATGCTAAACACAATGTAATGCATATATACACAATGCAATGCAACATGAGCAACCTATCAATACTAATGGCATGCATACACAATGCAATGCAACATAAGCATGCAAACAACATGAAAACAAGCATTCTCAATGGGCTTAAACCGAATATGGACGAACCTCAGTCATGCCCAAAACAATGGCCATAATGCTAAAAAGATGGCATGAAGATCAAGACAAGCATGATCATGCAATGGTACATCAACTAAGCATAACAACCTAACTCTCAAAAGTGCTCAAAGAGTGACAAATCTAAGAGTGTAGCCACACTATATGCACTTAAATCATGTATGAAATGATGCCAAATCATTCAAACAACATAAGCATAACATGCTAGAAGGCCTAAGGCATGAAAGCTAGTGAAGAACAATACACAAAGAACATGCAATACTAAGCTTTAACCATTAAACCAGCTCTAGACAGAGCTTAACCATGCCAAGTTAAGGGTCAAGGACATGCTAAAATGGAGCTCAAGAGCTTAGGCAAACATGCATACAAGCTAGGCCATAAGCAAGGTAACAATGCACAACCCTTAGAGGCACTCAAAGGGTGAAAGAAGTAAGAACATGGCAATGCTACATGCTCTGAAATGTCATGTTAAGTGATTCCAAATCATGAAAACAACACAAATGAAACATGCTATGGTGCTCAAAACTCAAAGCTAGCAAGGCCAATTGCACTACAGCTATGCAATACATGAAGCATATGGAAAATATAACCCAAAAAAGTCCTAGAGCATGTTAAAATGATGCTAAAACATGCATGGACCAAAGCTAAAACAAGCTAGCATGAAGGGCATAAGGCATGATGTATGCAAGGCCAAGAGGGAGGATTACACTACACCTCCAAGACCAAGCATGAGATGGCTTCTCCAACAAAAATCAGAATTATATCATGGCAAAATAACCCCAAAAAATCACTAAAATGATAGCTCACAAGCTTATGCATGATGGCATACACAATGACTCATGTTTAAGGCATAAAGTACAAACCCTTCAAAGCATTGAAACAGTAACAAATGTGGGTGCATGGAAATGAAACATGCTCTGAAATCACATATAAAATGATGCCAAATCATAAAAATAGTCCAAGCAATGCATACTAGTGGTCTCAATACACAAAGCTAACAAGCTAGAATGCATTATGGCTATACAAAGCAAGTCATGCATGACTAAAACAACACAAATCAGAGCTTAAACATGCTAAAACATGGACAAAAGCTTCCTAGAGTTGAGCCAAAACATGCTAGAATGATGGTCCAAACACATGATGCATGTTAGGCTAGTGAATGAAAATGCACTACAAGTGCATGGAGCATGCAAAGGGTTATCAAACCAACCCAAAACAGACCTAAGGCATGGAAAATCAAGACCAAAAATATGCTGAGATATGGCCAAAACATGCTAGGAAGACATGCTCAAACATGAGGCATACAAGATTAGTTTGAAAAATTTACACTGCAAGTGTATAAAGCATGCAACGGGTGACAAAACCAAGTCAAAGCAGTGGTATGCCATGTCAAAATAACCCCAAAAATAAGTTGAGAATAAGCCAACACAAGCTTAACAAACATGCTCAAACATGAGGCTAATAAAGCAAGCATACAAGACACAAGGAGAGGGGATAACCCTCTCCTATTTGGGATCTCAAAACACAAGTTTTACCACTGAAAATCCACTAGATTTCAGTGGTTAAAAGGCCAAGAGAAAGTGATCTCAAAGGCCTAAAGTGATGGTGCAAAACAAAGCCAAACAAGACATGCAAGGGAGTAGACCACTCCAAACACCAAAGAAGCGTTAAACAAACATTACAAGCATGCAAAATCAGAACTTTTTGCAGTAGAAAGTTAGGCCTAAAACAACATGCAAGTATGGCCAAAATCTTAATCAAGAACAAGGGATTAAGAGGTTAGAAGCTCACCCTTGTAGAACCACTTTCAAGCAACAACTCCAGCAGCTATTTTGGATCAAAACCAGTCCAAAATCTCCAAAACCAACCTCAAGGTACCTCAGCAACAAAAGGGTGGTGTTTGAGTGTGAGTTTGTGTGCAATAGTATGATGAAAATGCACTTTCAAGCACAAAAATGAGACAAAGAAAGAGATATAGAGATAGGTGTGTATCTATAACTCAAGCCAACTTTTCTGAACCTGGAGAAGGAATGGAGGGCTTCTCTCTTATAGAAAATCAAGCAAGAAGCTTGTTGAACACACTTGAGGCTCTAAGCCATCCCTCCATACACGTATGGAGGATGACTTTTGTGCCTTCCAGCTGTCACAGCTGGCAAGAAAAGATCTCCAAAAAGGTGCTGGAAAACGGCGTGGTCGGCCAGCTACTTGTAGTGGTCGGTCGACCACCACAAGTGGTCTGCCAGGAAGACAAGTGGTCGGCAAGTGGGGGGAGGTGGTCCGCACACTGAAAGCAAGCTAGTGGTGTGGTGGCCGACCACTTTTGGTGGTCCAAAGACTAAGAAAACCAGTTAGCCGACCAGAAACTGGCTGGCAATCAGGAAAAGTGGTCTCTAAGGGGAAGAACTGGTCTCCCACCTTCATTCCACTCTTCAATCAAGGAAAACAAGGTTTGTACCAAAAATAAACCAAAAAGGATGCAAGACGAGAGTCCGGGAGGCAAGGCACGCAGCCGGAAGCCCCGAAAACTAGTCTACGGGCACCAAAAGTAGTCTACGAGGGAAAAGTAGTCTACAACTACAAAAAGTGGTCTATGAGACCACGGTGTCTCTCTAGGCAAAGGCAACAAGGCATGGTCTAAAAATCGGGCCAAAAGGAGAACGTTAAGCGGTCCCGAGACAAGGCGGGCTACCGAACGCTCCAAAAATTGAAAACTGGTCTCCACGAGGGAAAAGTGGTCTATGACCACAAAAAGGTGATCTACAAGACCTTATCCCCCTCCAAGGAAGGTCAACAGGGCTTGGTCTACAAATCGAGCTAAAACACAAGGAGTTAGAGGCCCGGAGGCAAGGCACTTAGCCGAAAACTCCGGAAACTCGAAACGAGCACAACATGCACTATCACTAAGCACTCAATCGATGACATCTGAGTCTTAAGGTCGGTCAAAAATGGGGTGTCTACCGATTGTTGATCAAGCATTTTTGGGATACATACAGTCCGTCCCCATTTTCACAGTCCAGGCAGCGTAGATGTGTTTTGGTGTGATCCAGTTAGGATGAGAATTTGAACTTTTTATGCAACACTACTTCCCGTGGTTGTTTGGCCCGTTTGACCCACCACCCTAGATTTGGTAGAAGAAAATCTTTTTTGTACACTAACCATGATGTGTTCTAATCCTTGTTTTTTGTTTTTTTGTTTTTTTTTAAAGATATGCGAATTTACAATTAAACAATTTCAGGATCTGAAACCTACCATGTTTATCGACGGTCCAAACCCACTAGTGGCAGAGGCTTGGGTTAGGGACATGGAGAAAATCTTTCGTGCTCTACCTTGCACAGAAAGACAGAAGGTGACTTTTGCCACATTCACCTTTAAAGACGATGCACGAGAATTATGGCTTCTTACCCTGGAAAAGGAAGATATTATGACTTGGGCAAGATTTTTGGAGGTATTCTATGAAAAATACTTTCTAGATTCACTATGGGAACAAAAGGCGTCAGAATTCATACATCTAAAGCAAGGAACCATGATAGTAGCCGAATACGAGAGCAAGTTCACACAACTTGCTCGGTTTGCGACATATATCATCCCCATCGAAGCTCGAAAGGCAAGAAAATTCAAAGCAGGATTGGATGTTGAAATCAAAGATAGGCTTGAGGTTTTGAAATTGCCAACCTGTGCGGAAGTGGTAGACCGGGCGTACATTGCAGAAAAAGAGGATTTAAGCCTCGCGTTCTGGGGAACCAAGCTAAAAGAAACGATTATGGGACAAAGAAAATAGAAGACCCGGTGTTGCGTCTCCCAAAAAGGTTAATATAGGCACAACCAGTTCAAGCAATTAAGGTCCTACCAGCCCCCCAGGTGGCACTATTCCAACTTGTCTTACTTGTGGGAAGGCTTATTGGGGACAATGTCATCGAGACACGGGAGCATGCTTTAAATGCAGTCAAGTTGGCCACTTGATGAGGGATTGTCCAAAGCTGACCAATCCTACAGCCAGCCCCTCTGGCCCAGTCAAAAAACCCGCAGGACCTGGAAGAGAGAGGAATGAACAAAAAGGCCAAGGAAGGGCTTTTGCTTTGGTACCTAAAAAACCAGAAGTTACCGAAAACGTTATGTCATGTACACTTTCTGTCTGTGGTCATTTAGCTCATGTCGTCATTGACTCTAGGTCAACTCATTCTTTTGTTGCACCATACTTTGCTGCCAAGCTGGCATCAATACCCAAACCATTAGAATATATAATGTCTGTGTCTTTTCCTTCTGGTAAGTTTGTCTGTAGTGCTGATGTGTACAGATCATGTATTATATCCTTAAAAGGTAAAACCTTATATGTAGACTTGATTCCCCTCTGCATTGGAAACTTTGATGTGATCTTAAGTATGGATTAGCTACCTGCCAACCATGCCTCTATTGATTGTAAAGCTAAAAAGGTCTCCCTCAGGTTACCGAACCAACCCAAACTTGTCTTTGATGGGACTGGAGTTTCCAACCCTCCCTACACTATATCCTCCATGACAACCTAACGACTTCAAATAAAGGGTTTTTATAGTTATATCTGTTATGTGATCAATACACAAAAAGAGCCCCCCGTCGTTGATGCAATCGCCGTGATTCGAGAATTCCCGAATGTCTTTCTTGAAGATCTACTGGGTATCCCAATAGATCGGGAAATCGAATTCACCATTGAAACCAACCTGGCACACAACCAATATCAAAAGCCCTTTATCGCATGTCAATGACAAAATTAAAAGAATTGAAGACTCAATTCCAGGAACTCCTAGACAAAAGTTCCATTTGACCTAGTACCTCACCTTGGGGAGCCCTAGTACTTTTTGTAAAGAAAAAGGATGGCACGATAAAGTTATGTATCGATTATCGGGAGCTAAACAAGGTCACCATCAAAAATTGGTTCCATCTGCCGTGAATTGATGACTTGTTCGATCAACTTCAAGGCGCCCAAGTATTCTTAAAAATTGACTTGCGTTCTGGCTACCATCAACTAAAAGTCAAAACGGAAAGTATCGAAAAGACTGCCTTCAAAACCTGTTATGGGCACTACAAGTTTCTTGTCATGCCATTTGGCGTCACAAATGCCCCAGCAGCCTTCATGGACCTCATGAACCGAGTGTTCAAACCCTATCTTGATGAGTTCATCAACGTTTTCATCGACGACATTCTCATATACTCCAAGTCACTGGAACACCATGAGAAGCACTTGCAAACGGTTCTACAAACACTACGTGATCACAAACTTTATGCCAAGTTGAAGAAATGCGAATTCTGGATCACTAGTGTACACTTTTTCGGTCACGTCATTAACAAAGATGGCATCTCGATTGACCCCCAAAAAGTTACAGCAGTCGTGGACTGGCCACGACCTACTAATGTATCAGAAATACGAAGTTTCTTTGGTCTAGCTGGCTATTATCGACGCTTCGTGCAAGATTTCTCAAAGATATCATCACCCTTAACCCAGCTAACTCAGAAAAACACACCCTTTGAATGGACTGACAAACAGGAGCGTTGTTTTCAAGAATTAAAAAGTCGACTTCTATCAGTTTCTATACTAGCACTCCCTACAGGAGTAGATGGGTTCGTAATTTATAGTGATGTCTTATACAATGGTTTGGGTTGTGTTCTTTTGCAAAATGAAAAAGTCATTGCTTATGCCTCACGCTAACTAAAGACTCATGAGAAAAACTACCCAACACATGATCTAGAATTGGCTGCGGTGATCTTTTCCCTCAAAATCTGGCATCATTATCTCTACGGTGTAACTTGAGAAATTTACACTGATCACAAGAGTCTTAAATATCTGTTCACACAGAAGGAACTGAATATGAGGTAATGACGGTGGCTAGAATTTATGAAAGACTATGATGTAGAGATTCATCACCATCCAAGCAAAGCTAACGTGGTGGCAGACGCATTGAACCGAAAGACGACCAGAAGTTTGGCATGTACTCTCGTTTCTCGTAAGATCAATGGACTGCTCACCAACATAACCATGGAACCTACATTGATTGAAGAAATTGAAGCGCACCAATGGGAAGATAAACTTTTGAAGAAAAAGTACGAGGAGCAAAGGAGTACGTCTGATCCCGATTTCACTATAAACAATGGGATACTAAAATTTTGGAATCGAATTTGTGTACCCGACATTTCGGAACTCAAGAAAAAGATATTGGTAGAAGCTCATAGCTCGAGGTTTGCATTCTACCCTGGTAACACAAAGATGTAACCATGATATGAAAGAACATTATTGGTGGACAGGAATGAAAAGAGACATTACAAGCCATGTCTCCAAATGTCTACATTGTCAGCGTGTTAAACAGAATATCAGAGACCTGCAGGAATACTGCAACCACTCCCTATTTCTGAATGGAAATAAGAGCACATTACTATGGACTTCGTGGTCAGGCTACCACAGTCATTTTCGAAGAATGATGCAATATGGGTTATAGTAGACCGATTGACGAAATTGGCGCATTTTTTGCCAATCAAAATCATGTACTCCCTTAATAAGTTTGCCACTTTATACATCAAGGAAATTATTCGTTTGCATGGTATCCCAGTTTCAATCGTATCTGATTGAGACCCCCACTTCGTGTCTTACTTCTGGAACAAATTACAAGAAGCTTTGGGAACCACACTGAAGTTTAGCACTGCTTATCACCCACAAATTGATGGGCAATCTGAAAGAACAATCCAAACATTGGAAGACATGTTACGTATATGCGTATTGGACCTCAAAAGTAACTAGGATGAGCACCTACCTTTAGTGGAATTCGCCTATAACAACAGCTATCAGGCAAGCATTGGAATGGCGCCGTACGAAGCTCTGTATGGAAGGAGATGTCGATCACCTCTATGCTGGACGAAAGTCGGGGACATGAAACTGTTAGGCTCCGAGATTGTACAAATCACGAGTGATAAAATCCAACTTATCCAGTAGCGAATTTGCACTGCCCAGAGCCGCCAGAAAAGTTATGTAGTTACACGGAGACGGGACTTAGAATTTCGAATAAGAGATCATGTGTTCCTTAAGATCTCATCAACAAGAGGAGTTATCCGATTTGGAAAGCGAGGAAAGTTAAACCCACGTTACATCGGCTCACTCGAGATACTAGAAAGGATTGGTCCTGTAGCATATCACCTTGCACTACCACCTGAACTGTCCAATGTCCACAATGTGTTCCATGTTTCGATACTCCGACGGTACCTCCGAGATCCTAAACATGTCGTCGACTATGAGAACTTAGAAGTTCAAAAGGACCTCTCTTATGAAGAGCAACCAGTGCAGATTCTCGATCGTCGTGATCAAGTTCTCCGAAATAAGACCATATTGCTAGTAAAAGTCTTATGGCTAAATCATCGTATCGAAGAAGCTACATGGGAAGCAGAGAGTCAAATGCGAGTCAAATACCCACACCTTTTCGACAACCAAGGTACGTCAAGTTTAGGGACAAACTTCTATTTAGGATGGGAGAAATGTGACACCCTAAATATTTATTCAATACAACGATTAATAATAATAATAATAATAAAATAATAATAATAATAATAATAATAATAATAATAATAATAATAATAATAATAATCTGTAGAGTAAAATAAAATAATTAATTTTATGATGATAGATGATAAAGTGTAATTTAATTTACATTAGGAATACTGAAGAATTAAGCACCAAAACAAATAAATAAATAAATAAAAAGAAAAGAAAATTAGTGATCCAATGTTGGCCCAGCAATTTCTTAGTAATGTTGGCCCAAGCAATGCCTTTAGTAGTGTTAGCCCAAGTATATTTATTTGATAGCCATTTATAAGATTCAAATCTATAATTAAGATTCAAATCTATTAGCAAAATGATGGTAGTCCGTAGAGGGGTTACGTGTCACCCAAACTATACTTAGCAAGTAGTATAAAAGGAGGAAGGGTGTTTGTGAACAAATGACAGAAAACCAACAAAGGAAATGGACGAAAATATTGAAAGGCAAGTAGGGTTTTGATAGTAAAAAGAAATAGTGAGGTATTAATTTTAAGGTGAATTATATTATACATTGAGTCACCATAATATATTTTACGTATGTTTTGACTTATCATAATTTATTTTATACAAGTTATGTTTTCTAAATTATATTAATATTTCAATTACGTGGATTAATTTCTAAACTATATTTGTTTAAAATGAAACACATGCATATGTTTGTTTAAATTTTAGAAAATATTTGACTCTGACCTTATAAACAATTCTGTTCTGTAAATACTACCATGGGAGTCCCACACCTTGAGGGACTTAAATAACCATTAGCCTTTGTTTGACCACTTTGTGGTTCTCTGTTTGTCATGGATCCATTGACCTATGTTCTGACTGTCACTTCTGTGACCTCTATTCAGTTCTGTTCTGTACTGTGATTATGGTTATTTATTTACATAATTTTCGTGTTTCAATATTTGTCACTTTGAATAATTTGTTTATTCAAATTAAGTTGTGTAAATGTTTTAACTTAACTAACTATCCCTAGTTATTTTGCATTCTCTATACTCTTAGTATAATATTTCTCATTCTGCTGTGTGTTTATAGTTGTTACTCTTTCAGGTGACGAGATGTAAGAGAGACCCATAACCTCATATAGTGAAACCTGCACGAGAATTTGATGTTGAACCATTATTTTGTTTTTCTTTTCTTTTTTTTCTTTTATTTATTTTTCTGTGACCTCTATTCAGTTCTGTTCTGTACTGTGATTATGGTTATTTATTTACATAATTTTCGTA